TGAGCTTGAGAGGAGGAGCTGTTCTTACTCATGCTTGTACCCTTAGTGCTTAGCACTTTGCCTGGCATATAGCAGACACATGAATGAGTGAATAAATATATAATAGAATTTACCACAGAAGAATATGGGCAGAGTATTTGATGTGCCAGCTTTTTAAATATATATTTGTAAGCTATAATTTTCACGTGTCTCGAACAACATGATTTTGGCATTGCTTGAATTTTTTTACATTGAGAATGGAATGTAGTAATTTATTACTTGTATAATTTTACAAGATTTGAATATTGTTTGAAAATGTGAGTTTGTTCCTGGACATTCAATAATACATTCCATTCATTCATTCATTTCATTCATTCATTGTGGTGTGTCACATGCCAGATACCATGTGCAGATGGTGGTGGTGGTGGTTGTTATGTGCCGTCAAGTTGGACCTGACTCATAGCGACATAATCAAGAAAATATTCCTCTTATTTTTGTTTGTTTCTTTTCCCTCCAGGGTGTGGAGGCATGGAGGGCAGGGTTAGCCTTGGCAAGTAGGAGGGATATAATTAAAATAGTGTAGGGTTGGGAGCAAGGAGAGGTGGCAGTAAGTTTAAGTTTGAACAGAGAGTAAAGTTTTAAAATGGCTACACTCTCTGTGAAAAAGTTCTGAAGAATGGGAAAAGAAAACAGTTGGTGAAGACATAATTTAGATTGATGGGTCATTTTAATCATAAGGAGTTTCTTAGATAATTATATCAAGTCTGTCACTTCTGGAATGTAGTTCCTTGAACTATAAATTGAATTCAGAATTTGCTCCATTACATTTTTGTTCAAGAAAGCTTTCTTGGTGTCACTTGTAACCTTTTCAAGTTTCAAGTTTCTGGGTCGATTATGTAACAATCTCATCAGAAGAGTTTAAGATTCTGTGCAATAATTATTTTGAACTACAAACATTTCATTGACATATATTTCCAGAATGTTGGTAAAAAGAACATTGAGCAGAGGAAGGAAAGGAATAGAACTGATTTCTAAAAGTTGTTTACTTTGAATAAGAGAACATTCTATATGGAGGAGGTATTACTCACCATTGAGCCAGATGGCCTGAGGTATTTCATTGCATTAATGCCAAATTTGATATCTTAATCCTGAGCAGTTCTTATGATTTCCTATGCTAAGGACTTGTGTATTAAGAGTTTTAATGCTTATTAGAGTATTACTATAAAATGAGAATATGTGTTTTATAAATATTAAACATTTTTATGTATGATCTTAGTAACCCTCTGAGAGAATGCCTAACCAAAATAGCCCAGATCTTACAGTAAATACATGATGAATGTGGCTGTTTATATGTATCCATTTTGGATATGGGAAAGAATTGTGTGGTCTTTTTCTCTCCCATAATGTAACAAAGCTGTCAACATTATGAAGGAAGTTACTTAAGATGATCCCTATCACCTTTTTCTCCCCTTGTAGGCGTCTAACCAAGGAGAATGTGAAACCTTCTGGAAGACAAATAGGGAAGTTGAGCCACAGTAATCCAACCATTTTGTTTGATTATGTATGTTTTGAGATTAATATCATTTTAAGGGATGTTTTCTTATTGATTGATTGATTGTGATTTGAGTGGGATGTTTTGTTTTTGTTTCAAATTGGCAAGCAGAAAGGGAATAAGGTGTTTTTAAAATGTTTGATAGTTTTTGGGGGAATACCTTTAGCAAATGAAACATGGTTATGCTAAAAACAAAACTTAACTATATAATATATTGATCTAATTTTATAGTACTGTGGAACAGTGCTATTATAAATATTCTGATGTTACCTTATTTATCACATTTTGATAGCAAGGTGAATTATTCATTGATTTTGGTTCTTAGAAACATTTGAATAGCATTTCATTGTGATTTAGATGTAGCACTATTACTTTAATTCTAGAAAGATTTCTAAAACATTTGTTATGAGACTGTTGTCGTTATATGCCGTCAAGTTAGACCTGACTCATAGCAACCCCTCCTTGGGTTTCCGAGGCAGTATTGTTACAGAAGTACATTGCCCCATCTTCCTTTCGAGGAGTGGCTGGTAGGTTTGAACCACCAGCCTTCTGGTCAGCAGTCAAGTGCTTTAGGCACTACGCTACCAGAGCTCCTTGTTATGAGACTAGCCTTTATAGTTCCAAAAGCCAAGTTAGGCTTTCTAGAATTATTTCCTAATTGGAAAATGTAGCCTAAAAAAATAATCTCTGATAAGAATAGTAGGTTTTATACTATACAAAATGGAAGGAAACCACTTTATTTATAAGCATTATTTCTTTCTTCTTTTGAAAAATAAAAAATATAGCCATTATTTAGTTGGCACACTACAATTCTTCCTTTAATTAAAACCATCTGTTCTGTTTTGGTGTTTTCCAGATCTTGTCACAAATACAGAAATATGATAACTTAATAACGCCTGTAGTAGATTCATTGAAATACCTCACTTCTTTGAATTATGATGTCTTGGCCTGTATCCTTTCAAAGTAATACATAGATGACATATTTCATAGATCTAAGAGGTGAACATTTCATTTTAGTAAGTTAAGTATTTGAGGTAGATTCAGGTGGCTGATTTGAAGTTTGACTATCCCCCCTCACCCGCGTGCATGCAGTCTTTTTATTGTATGTAGGGAGAGACAGGTTTACCTAACGTCATGATGTAGGTAGAATGTATCTTGCTTGCTGAAAGATGGGAAAGAGGCTAAAGAAGAAAAGTTGATACTAAAATGAGTGTATTTTTCAATAATGTATAATAACATAAAAGAAATATTTTTTCCCCAATATGTGACATACTTTTTGTTTTAAGGGTCTTTGTTAGAGACATCATGACTTAATTTTTTTCCTTAATGAATGAAAGATTGTATTATTGAAGCTTTAGCTAATCCAGAAAAGGAGAGAATGAAACATGATGACACAACCATCTCAAGCTGGCTCCAGAGTAAGTATTTTTGCTTTTCCAAACGTGAAATTACTTTTCTCTGGTAATTGCCACACTATATATTTCATTACCTGTGCTTAGATACTTGTAAGAGCCTATTTGTCAGGTATGTAGACTCTTTAGTTACTGGGTTTTTTCAACAGCATGTCCAGCTCTCTGGGAGTAGAAGCAGGTTTATTAGTATTTAGTCATTTTACTGACTCAAGAGGCTGTGATAGAATTCAGGTAAGTAGGACTTGGGAGATCAAGCTTTTCCTCTTTTTAAGTACTATTATTTTAGAGGAGTTGATT